GATCTAGCATCGTTAAAGATCTATCTACAGGTGATTTAACATTTCTAATTGAAAAATGATCAACGCAGTTTTCAAATAGATTAGTTTTTGTTTGTTTTTTTTTGTTTTTTTGTCGTATGGATCATCCATATCCATTTTACTAATCGTCTTATGATCTGACCGAGAACTAAGTAATAATCCAACGATGATTAGACTTTTTAATTAAATGTTTCCTATAAACTAATCTAATAATAAATACTACAAATTAATTACTATTAATAACTTGTAATAATTGAAATAATTACGTTCGATTGATAAGAGAAAAAAGGAAAATTCCCCGACCAATGATGATTATCGTTCAAACGACTCAAATGTTTTTCTTATTTCAAAATATAAAATGAATTTATCATTAATGAAAAAACAAAATGATCAAATAATGAATTAGCTACTGTGCGTATATCGAGCGAATGGCACATTACGATCGATTGTATTGGATTAAGGCAAAAGCCTGTTAATTAATGGAGCGTATTGACCCTTCGATTAGTTGAGAGCAAGTTTCGAGAGCAGACCAACCAGACCAAACCAGACCAGACCAGACCGGGCCAGAGGGGCCTGGGCTTTCGCTCATCTCGTCGTTCGTTATGCGCGTTCGTTATGCGTTGACGCCCACCACTTCTCTTCCCACACGCGTTTCATCCATGAAACGCACCATTTCTATCGAGATTACAACTTATTGAAGTGAACATTTCTTTAGAATCGGGGTGATTTGAAAATCATCAAACGAAAGAACGTGAAACCGATGAAACCAAAATAATTAATTAATTAAATAATTTATTTCACTTAGTGATTTTTTTTAACTTAACACAAGGTTTCACTTCTACCGTGTGTGATTTGCACACATCTATTTTTTTTTTTTTTATGTAACGCAAAAAAACAATAAACTCCAATGGTCATTTTGATGGAAAAAAAAAAACAAACAAAAGTAAAAATAGCAAAAAAATACTTTTCTTTTTAGTTATTTGAACAAATTAACGAGGATCTATTGTTTCATCGTACACATAACTGTGTTGATATGTGTCACATATGCATATTTATTAATACATATATATATATACATACATGTACATATTACTAACGCGTCAAGTGTGCACGAGATAGTATCGACGGCAAATGTGTTATTAAACGCACGATGCGCTAAAATCATGTATGCGGCTTAGCACGACGGAATGCCGATGTAATTAAATTCGATAACTTTATCACGGTATTCGATTAATGCCATACGATACGATATTACGTTAGCTTGCCGAGAAGAGATAAAATGTAATTATAAAACGGTGCTGGCAGTGTTCAACACTCTGTCGTGTTTCTACACTATCTATATATACATATATATATATACATGCATATGTATATGTGTAACGTGTATGTAGTATGTGCTGCTAACGCGACGAGTAGTAACGAGTGGAGACAAAAAAAATGGATGAGAGAGAGAGAGAGAGAGAGAAAAAAAAGAGGTGGACGCACGATCGGTGTACTCAAAAAATAAAATAAAAAAAAATAAAAAAAATAGAAAAGGCGAGGGAGAAAAGGCGATGGGGAAAAATCGGGGGAAAAGCCGAGAGATAAACGCGATATGAAATTTTTCTACCTTCGAGCGAATGCATTTTCTAGAAATTGGGGGGGGGGGAGTGACGGCGGGAGAGGGGAAAGAAAATAAAAAAAATAAAAAAGAGAGAAAATACGAACAATAGGAATACGAAATTGATAGAACAAGCACGTGTACAAGATAGATAGATATACCCTACGTCATCGTTTATTTCTACGTTACATATGTATATGTTCGTTTTGAAAGAATCGAACAAATGCGGTGCTACGGAAAAACCATTTTTCCAAAACAAAGAATTCGTATAAACTCTCCCTCTCTCTCACTCTCTTTTAGGAAAAGAAAAACATCATTTTGTTATTCAACGTTCGTGAATGTTGCGTTAATGAATGAATAATATTACGAAGGTGTGTTTATATGAGAATGAAGTAAAAAAAAAAAAAATCCCAAACGTAAAGAGGAAAAAGAAAGAAATTTACGATGATCTTCTCTACTAGAAGAATATTCTGCGAACAGCTGACGAGAGACTTGTTGTAATGGTTCTTTCCTCTCGTTAACTCGAGCCACGCACAAAGAAGGCATGCTTATCTCTTTCTTTCTCTCTCTCTCTCTCTCTTTCCTTATCTTTATCCGTTTCTTTTTTTCTCTCTTCGTTCTTCGAAGAGAGACGAACCATGCAACACGTACACGCATATGCATCGAGCGCGAATCCGCTGTGAAAAAAAAACAAGAAAAAAAAAAAATAAGAAAAAAAATAAGGAAATAAGAGAATAAAAATTACACGATATTTTCCTTGTAAAGAAAAAATTGTTTTAGATAAAAGGCAGACAAAAAAAAAACAAATGTATGTATAAATCGTTCAAAGTAATACGAGGAAAGATTACACCGATAAAAATATTATCTTTGCAAATACTAATTAAATATCTATACATCTATTAACTCTTTGAGGCATGGTGGGATTAAAAGTGTCTCCCACCTTTTTTGATACACCATAATGCACGTGGTGGGAGGACATCTTTAGTCCCGCTATGTAAAATACGCGGTGGTATTTTATGGAGAGTTACTATAGTGGTCCGTAGTAGCGAAAGGGTTTAATGTTTGCCATAAAAATAAATCAATTTATCAACAAATTTTCAAGTTTTATTCTCGAATAGAGCTAATAAAAAAAGAAAGAAAGACAGAAAGAAAGAAAGGAAGGAAGAAAGATAAGTGGGTGGAACAAGTATTGACGAAAGCACGCACGTTAGCGTGACACTCGCAATAGTCGTTTCCGCTTCACGGAAATCGTTCGATCCTATTAATCTCAACAATAAGAGTCTTATACTACTCGATACTTACAACATGCCCAGGGACGAGAAATTTAAAAAATCTTTGTCCAAAGTAGACAAGAAAATAAAAGAAATAAAAATATGTTTTGTTTGTGGAATTCGTTAGCAAGTGATTAAATCCTCCTTTGAAATAATCGTCTCGAATGACTCGTATAACTTTGCAATGAATCTTTGCATTTCATTTCTAAACACAATACTTTATGTCTTGTAAGTACTTCATTAGAAAATTTAGACTTTTGCAATGAATTTTCAGCATTTGCAGAATTTCGAGCACGTATATAAAAAGTATCAGAATAAAATGGAAAAACATATGTAGCTGTTCGAATGAAGGAATTTCAAAAAGGGAAAGAGGGAGATAGATGAAAAAAGGAAAAAGGAAAAAGGAAAGATAAGCATTAGAGCCTATTAGGTGAACACAACGAGCGCTACGATTAGACGTGTAAACTGGCTTAGACACTGCAATTTGCCTTGCACATAGAGAAAGCTTTTACCGCTTCGACGTAGCCCTCCTCCTCTCCTTTATCCTTCTCAGCAGACCGTTGTGTGTATCCATAAACCTTATGGCCTTTTAAGAAAGCGTCGACTGGAAAGAACCCATATTACTACTTTCCAAGTAAAAAAAAACTAAAAAAAAACTAAAAAATAACTAAAGAACTAAAGATTACTGACCACCACCACCACCTATGCCAATGGGGCATAGTAGTGAAACGAAAAAATAGTTTTTGTCTATAGTTTTCTCGACACCCAATATAACAAAACGAATGAACGAAGAAAGAAAGAAAGAAAAATTATTGATTGACACCACCATTTCATCTTTGTACGTCGCGAGAATTTTATTCATTGCACCAGGCCCAGGTATCTTAAGTAACACCTAATAACAATGTCATGTTGATTGTAAAGATTACGTTGTAAAACAGACTATATTTTTCTCTTCCCTTTTTCTTTTTTTTTTTTTCTTCTCATCTTTATGTATATTCTCAAAAACACAAGTAACGATAAATAAAGATGAGAGAGAGAGAGAGAGAGAGAGTTGCATATAGCAGACGGTTGGTTAACAAGCATAAATCATGCACGACGAACACACGCTGCGGTACGAGTAAAATCAGCGAGAAACATCACGGCGACTTGTGATTTATACATCTTAAACGCCCCCCATAACTTTTCTACCAAGTTATTTCCCTTTGATCATTAATTTGTATTAACAAAAAGGAGAAAAGAAAATATCTCGATATCGTCAATCGACTAAATAATATTCGTGTAAGACGCGACCATTTCAACGAAAGATAGAGAGAGAGAGAGAGAGAGAGAGGGAGGGAGAGAATGAAAGAAATACTATCGTGACTTGACTGAAAATAGCGCGCGTGCGCGTGCGCGTGTTTAGGTGAGCTTTTAAAACATACATTTGTGCATCTATCTTTTTTTCTGCAATAGTTATAATGCGATAAATAAAATGAGTTATGTTAAAAATTGCATTAACGTTTTAAGACGTTACTTTGGAAAAAATAAAAAGAGAAAAACAATGTCGGCAAGTTAAGTTGCGTCTTATCGCTCGAGCGTGCTAGCTCGCACGCCGTTCGATTTACTAACGACTAACGGCTCGTTCTCGTAAGACTCGTCGGCACGTAGTCACAATACCTCGTGCAGGTCGATAAATAATCCGGGCAGCTCCACTGCTGCTCACTCCCCAACTCACACAACCATCTCTCTCTCTCTCTCTCTCTCTCTCTCTCTCCCAATCCTACTATACATGCGCTTACTACTACATCTACACACATATATAACCAACCAACACATTGAATACACGTTTATCCTTTGTCCCACGCGGAGATCGACGTCCGAAGGAGAAGGCATTGAAGAAGAAGAAGAAGAAGAAGAAGAAGAAGAAGAAGAAGAAGAAGAAGAAGAAGAAGAAAGGAAGGGACGAAACGAATGGTATGATACATGTGTAAATATATAAATATGAGAATAGAAAAAAAAGAAATAAAATAAAATAAAATAAAATAAAAAATCAACAGCCGTTATTTTCTTTTTATCTTTCGTACAATCAAAATGTTATACTCGTAAAAGAAAGTCTAAGAAAATATACTTACGACAAATAGTCATCGTCGAAATTCCAAAATTTCTTTTAGATTTTCTCCTGTAGTAATAATATTTACAGTCCAATCGAAGATGATAGGTGCACTAATGAAACTACACACAAGTACAGGAGCCACACATATACACGTTAAAGCATCGAAGGATATTTTTCCCAGTAGATAAAACGTAGAAATTCCGGATTATTTTGCTTGGCGTAGTGTATAAAAAAGGACGGAAATGCGAAGTTAACAAAACAGCAACAGAAGGACGATGTTGCAGTTGTAACGGTAACGATGTAGACGACGACGACGACAATAACAACTATTAACAATGAAAAAAAAAATATTTAATGCACTCACACTTCACGCGGTACTTTGCAAAAGCGGCATGGCCGACCAGCACCACTAACACACGTAAAATCGGTCGCACGTACGACGTGGCACGACGCGTTACACACACACGAAACCTGCTGCTGCATCGTCGCCGAGCGTTCGACGAGCCGAAACGAGACGAGTGGGCCCGAACGACACCGACTAAGAGACAGAGATAGACAGAGATAGAAAGAGAAAGAGAGAAAAAGATGAATAGAAGAAACGGGAGCTATGAAGAGAAGATACAGGGGGGGGGACGCATATATACACGAAGAAAGATATTAAGAGAAATATCAAAAGATGGAGAAAGACAGCAAGCTCTTGCCAGAGCATATAATACACCTCACGCACACTATTATAATATCAAGCTTGGGAAGCTCACCGATGCACTCACTTTTTTTCTTTTTTCCTTTTTCATTGACCGATTAATCGTCGTCCGTTGTTCACTTTTTCTTTATCCTTTTTCTTCTTTATAAATGGTTAATGTGACACGATTTAACTGTATAGGTAAAACTACGTAGTCGATAGCGCCGCCGGTCTTTCGCGAGCCACGAAAATCCTTTTCTACGATGTGTCTTGTATGTGTGAATGTGTATGTATGTTGTGTATACTCGTGTATGTGATGTGTGTGTATATATATGTATCCTCATTCACTACACTTCACATGGTATCATACCGGCTCGGGCGCTTGACGCTTACTGAGCTAACGCTATCCCTTCCCTTCGGTCTACCGGTGCTACGGCCGGCACTCGCCCCCCTCTCTTTCCTCAACTTTCCCTACCACCATAGCGCTACCTACACGCTACTTCTGCTGCTGCTGCTGCTGCCGTTGCTGCTGGTGCCGCCATTTCCTCTCCCTTCACGCCGTCACCTCCCTATCCGACCTCTCTAACACCGCGTTACTACTCTTTTCTACTCTCCTCTGCCAGTCACGCTCGGTCGCTCTGAATATCCTCGTCCTTTTTCTCTTCGTTCGTTCGTTCGTTCATAACGTCCGTCGTTCTGCATCACCACCAAGTGTCCGCCATACAATAATAATATCTTGATGATCTTTTTCGAAAACTGATTGAACAACTCAGCATCAAATATTATCTTAGAAAAATGTTAATAACTTGAATCGATTTTAACAACGTTCGTTCGGTTGTCATTGATCCAAGTATTTTCTAACGAAATGGCAAAGTAGGAAACGTTGGAGTTTTGCTAGCTTGGAATTACCACGCAACGATAATTCATAATCGCACCGGCTTTAAACCGAGCGGCAGACGGGAAAAGAGTTTTAAAACTCGAGTCCGACTTTAAGTGCCTCGGTAGAAGAGGGATTATCCTCGGGACTATGAATAAACTCTTTCTATCTCTCGTGCTCTTTCCATAGCTAGCACGAACAGAATATATAACGGATAGAGCTAATATTGCAAGGATGAATTTCAAGAGTGGTGTAATAGAGAAATGAGCCCCCGTTCACCCGTCTTACTTTTTTTTTTTTTTTTTTTTAAACACTTTTTACCTTTATTAACTGCACCAGGTAAGAGAAGAAAACAATGTCAGGAAATATAATAAGAAGTGACAACAAGTACTATTCTATGTTCTTATGATTACTACCATTAGGAAGAATGCATTCTGATCCATCCTAGATATTACCACCGCTGGGTTGATTAAAAAAACATTTAAATTATGAAGTCGATGAAGTAGGAAGCTAGCATGAACCAAGAATACAAGTTATTTGCATACGAATGTAAAAGTCCGTTTTCTCTTTATCTTCTAACTGGAATTTCTGTTCAATGTTAATGCAGTCGATGCATATGTACATATGCATTTATAATGTTTATCAACATTTGTTACACGTGATCGATAACACAGGAACCTGTAATGCAAAATCTTATCTCTGTTTCTTTTTTTTTCATTTTGTATGCGCTCGGTTAAACATTTTCAAAATTATGTATATGGTTTAAAAGCGTGACCAGAAATTTCATTTTCTTTCAAAAGAAATATAATAAATAATAAAGATAAAAAGAAAAAACTATATATAAAGTAAAAAAAGAAGCAAGGACACGAAAAGCCCTCTCTCGTCTGGTACTCTTAAAGGCGTATGAATTATTTAAAGAGACGCGAGTGAGCGAGCGATGATATATGCACGCCATAAAAGTGAACTATCCTGACAGTCCAAGCTCGTGGATTATAAAATTTGATTTTTAAATAAACGACGAATTATATAGAATCCATGACGTATAAATATTTATACTGACGGTGAAACTGACGTCGACGCAAACGCCACGGTGCCACGGTGCCACGGTACCACCGAGGCTAGCAGCAACAACACGCGTGTATATTTTTACGTACACGTCTCTATGTGAATTTTTGCCCCTTGTTTTCCTTCTTTTTTTCCATTCGTTTATATTTGAAAAAGTTGCAAAAGTTGTTGATCCTAATAATAAGAAAAATTGGAATAATGTTTCTTCGTTTGCTCTCGTGCGTGCACTCGCTGTCTGTGTTGTTCCCTCGCTCGATCGAATTTCAAATCAAATATACAAATAAAATGATATATAATGTATGCAATAATATAATGAGAGAGGCAACAAATCTTGATATTTCTCATCTCATTTTAGTCTTTAAAGTAATAGACGTGTATTAACTATTAAAAAGTTTGTGCTGTTAAAAGATACAAAAAAATATGTAAAAGTAAAAAGAGAGAGAGAGAGGAGAGAGAAAGAGAAAAGTGCACGTTAATAAACGAGTTAAAGTTTCCTATTCTCCTCTCCTTTGARCTCTCCTTTTCTCTTTTCATCTTCATCTTCATCTTCTTCTTCTTCATCGTCTCATTCAAACGTAAAAAGAAATTCATATACATGGAAAGAGAGATGGAGAGTGCCGACGTGTCGGAGAAAACATGAAAGTTCGTAGTTGGCTCACGTATTTGAAACTTGAAAAATATATTTCTGGACTTCTCTGATCCCAGCTTTTCGACGAGACGTACCACCCTAAAGGAAATGAAAATGCGTTTGTTCCTATCTAAGATCGCGCTACTTTTCCTAAAACGTGCGTCTACATAAATAATATTTCCTACTTTTTGTTTCTCTTTCTCTCCTCGACTCTGTGATTTATTATTTTATTTATTTATATGTGTCGCAATAATGCTGAAAGAATATATAAATATAACTGTAAATAAATACATAATATTAAAATAGATATTAGATAAGTAAGAAATAAAAGATAACATTGATAAAGCTTTGAAACACTTGGAAGAACGACGATTACGCATGATCTATTTTGAAATGAAAAAAAAATGTAATCGACATAGTGCGATTTAATGATTAAAACGGAACAACAATAACAACAACAACAACAACAACAACAACAACAACTCTCGTTGGAAAGATAATCGTACGAGGGAATAATAAAGAAGCGAACGACGACACGCGTGTTCTACGCCATTTCGCGCATCCGTCTTAATCGTCAGCACTAACTTTCACGTTCCATAAAGAAAGACGTATAAAGAGTCTCGTATTATCTCCATATATTATCGCGCTCACACGAATATAACACTCGTGTACACGTGTAATATATATACTGTTTATCGTGCAATCGTATCATTCTCTCTTTTTCTCTTGAACTCTGACGAAACCACGCTTGAGTCGTGTAAAGCTTGCTCTTATCTATTTAAACGTCCCACGCATAGCGTTGAAAGACACGAGAATAATAAAAAAAAAAAAAAAAAAAGACAAAGATATCGCTCTTTGGACGATATTGTTTTTTAAACTACGTCCGACATCTTTGCCAAGGGGTTAAACGAATTCATGCGAACGATTGATAAATATACGTACCGACAGAATATATTTACTTTCATTACGACATATCACTGAGATTCTTCGAATTTGTCAAATTCCGAATAAAATAATAAAAGGTGAGAAAATGCGAGCAAAGAATGAACATTGCAAAGCGTGACATTGTCGCTCTGAAGTTTTATGGAACACCTGGACGGATCGATGGAAAGGGATGTGTCCCTTTTTTCCTTCCGCCATATACTTCACTACCCGCATTCGTTTGTAATAAATCGCTGAGTAAATATCCTTCTTCTCTCTCCCTTTTTATATCCATCTTCCTCTAGTATTTCTCTTCCAATTTTTCATTAAATACAAACTCGAGGAAAATTGTTCATTATCGAGCGTAAATATCCAGTGAAATATAATTTCGCAATAATCCCTTGTTTGAATTGTTCTTTATTTCACATTTGTAGTTTTCGTTTATTTATAAATTGTGCTCTTTCAATCAAAACCAAACGCGAATTTTGGATCCCTTCAAAAAGACCGTACGTATGTTTGTTCGTTTCATTAAAATTTAACTGTCGACTGAAAATTGACCAATTACACGTCCAATATTTTCTATCTTTTTATTCTCTCTCTCTCTCTCTCTCTCTGGACACGCGTTGAGTTGCATTGCGTTGCATTGCGTTGTCGTCCGTTTGCATCGAGCACAGCAAACCTCGATAACATCTACCAACTCAAAGTTGCTCGTGTGTTTGTCTAACCAGTTATCGTATCGTAAGCGACTTAATAAAGAGAAATGAATCGGCGAAAGATTTATTCCGTTACGGTAATACAACCGTGTGTGTTTGTATTTTCTCTACAGTACGATAGACGAAGAAAGAGAGAGAGAGAGAGAGAGAGAGAGAAAGAGAAAACCTTGCAGGATGCAATTACAGAAGAAGAGTATTCTAGTCGAATGACTCGAGTATCATAACCAAGCATATAATAAAAGTTATTATAAAATTGCATCTGTATGATCTCAACGATTATGTATTCTATTTGCAATCAAATAAAATCAAATTAAAACAAAATGTAGGTAAAAAGAACTAATTGATTAAATTGAGAATCATTAATTCATATGTTGACGAATTTGATCAACCGTAAGTAGAAATGTTTGAGAAATACTTGAAAAATGTTAATCGATAAAAAACAAAAAAAAAAAACTGTTAAAAGGCTCTTAACTCGATCGAAGTAAATAAATCTCACAAGATTATTCCTATCTCTTATCGATGAACGATGTAATACGAGTTATGAGATAAAAAGTAACCACTCGTTCCAAGAATTCTTTCGTTTGTTTGTCCTTTTCTTGCAAAGGTAAACGACGAAGAAACTAAGAACTTTTTTTTTCAAACTTTTTTTATTCATCTATTGCAAAAGGCAAAACTTAGGAATTTTGTAGAATATATTTGGTTGGTCCAGCGATTGGAGACACGAATGTGTCAGTTTTGGTTTAGAATATACCTGGGTCATATTCTAAAAGAAGAAAAAACATATTCTAAAGGCATGGTCTGGTACAAGTAGAAAAAAAAAAGGAAAAAAGAAACCTAACAAAATGGGAGAAGAATTAAATAATTTCTTTTACAAAAAGATGAACGTTCTTTTTTTAACAAAAGAAAAAAAGGGAAGAGGAATTCTATAGGATTTAGGATAATAAGGAAAAAAAAGGAAATCCAAAAGTAATAGAGTAATCAATCATTCATCAGCGGGAATCAAAATACTATCCAATTGTGAGACAATAAAAAGAGAAATTCTTCGAGAGATTTACATGATCAATGAGGAATAGATAAATGGATGAAAAAAACATTCTAAAAAAATGTAGACTATGTGGAGCAGAAAATCAATTGTCATTTCTTCGACTCATCAGTTAGCTATCCTCATCCACTGTTGGATGTAAGCCTCCCATCGGGTGGG